CAAAAATTCAAGACCTAACCTTGCTCATCTCAGTCACACAAGAAGGTGCCTTCAAATGCAGTGGTACATTTTGCATGAGAGGAACTAAAAAGCAATGGTTTAAAGGTTGAAAACACATCTTAGGCTGTCTTTATAGCATAGCAATCTATATGCTGCGAGTGATTTCCAGTTCTTTTCCAGTTTACATTACAAACAACAGGAAATTAAAAAGATTTAAAAAAAAAAAAAAAAAAGGGGGGGGGGGAAAGAAAGAAAAGCCTTAAATATTAACCCAGCATGAATATGGAAAGGTCACGTTACTCCATCGGTTCACTCCATACCATTTAAAAATTAGACCCCTCCATCCCCTGGAGAAAAGGGTTCATGCCTTGCAATAAAAGCATATTAAACGTCGGGCTGGAAGTCTCGAGCCATAAGGACTGAGCAAAGTTAGCGTATCTCAGCGTGGGAAGGATCCTCTCAGTGGGAGCAAGGATCTCTGTACGGGAGGGCTGACGTCAGTGGAAGTGGGAGGGAAACGGTGAGGGGAGGTTTGCTGGGGGAACGGCTGAGGGCTGTTTCAGTGGGAACAGGGAGGAATGGAGAGGGCTGGACGGCCTCACTGGAAGTAGGGACAGTACGTGTGGGAGTTTCAAAGGGAGGGAGAGCTGAAGTGTTGCAAGGGGAAGGGATTACCAGACAGGCAGGAAAAGAGCAGACAGCTTAGCAGACTAAATAATGTGCTGTTAAACGCTGAGATGAGATCCATTTCAGCACTGAAGGTAGAAGTTAGCATACATCCTCCTGTACATACAGGATTATGCAACCATTGGTTTGCAGTGACTGTAAAATTCACAGACAATTTCACAGGTTTTCAATGAAGGAAACTTGCTGGCTGTAACACCGTGGATCTAAACTGCTCATCCCATATTGGCTGATAAATCAAAAAGCTATTTCAAATTCAGCCCTGCTGGCTTAACTCTACTTTTAATTTTCAATAAAGGAAGTTTGGATTTACTTTCCAATCCCCTTGCACCCAAACACACACATTTCTGTGTTAAATATACACAACAGGGAGAGTTACACAAGCGAAGAGGAAGGAAATCTCACATACGTAAAAGAATGAGAGGGCAAAATAAATGTGCAATGTTATGTGCTGCAGTGCATATCAGTGCAGTATAGAAATGACACACATGCATTGCTGGGACAGCAACCCCTCACGATTACCCACAGCAGTTTTACATAAATGCCCATCAAGTCCTTACACCATGCCAATCCTTATTTATGCTAAATGTTAACCAGAGTTATTACCCTAAAAGAGTATATGCAGATTTCTATAAAGCCAAGTATCCTTACTATAAATTCAGCTACTGAAATTTCTGCAGAAGAAAATCATTACTAATCTATATGAAAAGGCTATCACAATTCTGAATCCACTTTCTTGAGACTTTTAGAGCTGAAAAAAATCAGGAAACGTCTCCTTTGCAACAGGACTAATCAAAGTTTTCTTTGATATTTTTAATGTAGCCCTGGATAATCAAACTTCAGTCACTGTTACTGACTAAATCTCACTCATCTTCCACTGGGAAAAGGACAGAGTTTAAGCTGTGGAGTCTATCTGTTGAAAATTAAAAGAAGGGTTTTCATGGCTGGTTCCCTATTTAGGTACAGCACTGATTCCAAGCTGCTCATGAATTTTCAAATGAAAGCCACGCATAAAATTACTAATCAAGGAGGGAGATACAGGCGCCATGACCAAACAGATTTATCTCCTCCGTTTATCACGTACTATCACCATACCCATATATACCAGCACTAGGTACTACAGAACTTATCTCTGCACACACGCACTTTCAGGGCTCCTCTGCGAGTTTACCACGGATAAACCAAGCCTTCTCCTTATTCGGAAAGGACAGGTATTTTTTTAGCTACACTTTGTAAATTGGTGCAAATCCCAAAATGCTCACACCACACATCTGGAGAAATGATCCTCTGCCCTTCCAACAGCACAAAGACACAATAAGATATAAATATAAAGCCAGAATAAGCCTGGGGGTTAATCAGCAATATATATAAGTCCATCTTACAATTAGCATGGGTTATTTCTTCTTATGACACTGCCTGACTTGAAAATATGTGTGCTATAGCTAACAAATTGATTTGGTAAAAGTCACTATGTTACTCATTACACTGATATTAATAAACTTAATGCTAATGCCAGCTGGAGTGAAAATGCAAGGTTTACAGTCCAGATTTTTTTCCTAGCTTTCACATAGGACTTTCTTGCCTTTAATCTGTGCATGTATGACAAAATAATGTATGTGAATTCAATTGCAGTGCCCTGAGACAACAGGAGAATGCCATCCTGGCAGTAAATTGGCTGTGCACACGTGTTCTGACAGCAGCACCAAAGCACAAGAAGTATGCAGCATCTTCTGCTCAGGTGAGGGAATCCCAGGTGCCATAAAGAACAGCCATAGTTTGTGGAAGCACCCAAAGTCATAGGATCATAGATCTCAGAGTTCTTTCTCAAATCAAAAATCCTTTTAACTCCAAAACTGCCCAGTGTCCTGCCCAATGCTCCTTTTGACAGTGATCTCAGGCTCCGGTCCCTTACCTTCAGCATTCTCATTCTTTATTTCTTTCTAAACAACTTCACTGTACATGACAAGTGTAGCTCTCTCTCCAGCACAATTTCTGAGACAACAGAGTTATACTCTAGCACAGGATGAACTGTAAATCTGATCATAATATGCACACTAATGCTAAAAGCAGAAAATGAAGCACATTGCTGCTTTGCATCTCTAAAGATAGGATTTTACACATGAAAATTATGTAGATGTGATTTTTCAATCAGATTTTGTACTCCACTGATCACAAAGAGAATTCCATTCTCATTTCTAAAAACCCAGGCAATGTGCTCAGAGTGATGACAAGGGCAGAAAAAGACCTAGTGACAAAAATCAGAACAGCTGCCAATGAGGTTAGAGCATGTACATGAACCAAAATCAACCATATAGCACCTGGCCAAATTACCCAAACTGGGTAACAACAATTTTTACGAAGTTCTTGAAATCAAACAACAAAACTAAGGCTGCTTTCCATGGTTATGCTTTTGGAAACAGTCCTTGGAGTTGTTTGTTTGTTTTCCCCCCCATAAGCAAGCACACAGAAGACGAATTCACACAATATAAACTTTAACAATATTTTGGTTTTAAACTTTGTAATGTACAATTACAATCACAATTAAAAATAAAGCTATTAAAGCAATTGTCAGGATTCTGACGACAACTTAACTTTCCCCACTGCAGTTACCATAAGCACGACTACTGTGCGTGAACAGAGCCGTACAGTTTAGTTTCCTGTACAGTACTAGCACTCAATTTTACGTTACTACAACACCGTTGACCTTCATATTCTGACTTAGGTGCTATTAATTCCTCCTTCGACTCACTACATGCAGTGTCTTCTCATTTTTTCTACACCTTTTTTAAATTTCTGTGAACCGTACTTACTAAATCTGGAGGAAAATGGAGAAAATCATCCATAGTACTGAAGAAAATTGCTTCAGGTCAATGTTCTAGAAGCCACCTTAATAAGTGTGTAAAAATCCTCAGAAATCTAAAAACTATTAGTTTCTCCAGGTCTGCAAAACATTTGACATTTTGCTAGTTCTTGCCTGCACCTCAAGCCTGTATCTTGTATTTACGGCGTGCGTATCTCAGTCCTTATCACAGTAACCCAGAGCTCATCAGCCATGTTATACAATATCCCCCGAGGTACTGCATTTGAGTTCATTTCTTTTTTCTTTCTTTTTTTTTTTTTAATATTTGCAATTACTTATTTTTTCAAAATAGAGATAGTTCCCTCCCCCCAAGGGAGAAAATACGGAATAATCAAAAACTCGAGCAGTAGGAACTAAAGTATAATGCATAAGCCTGTGACTACATCAATGGAAAGCAAACTGACATGCAACTAACACTTAAAAAAATTAATCACAGATTGCAATGTTTTTCAGTATGTGTCCGTCAATTTCACACAGGTCTTGTCTTGTATCTCTACACATAAGTATACACACTGAAACACATGCAAAAAATAAAAAATAATAACAAAAAAAAAAGGCAAAAACTATTTGCAGTAACAGACAAGGTCAACAAGTTGTTAATGTAAACCAGCACCCAGAGCACAATCTGCTGCCCCTCTTCCAACTTTCTGAATGGAAGGGCTACGCAAACCGATCAGCCCACCAAGCGGATCGCTTCGGGCTGCGATCTGCCCGCTTCCACAGAGCCGAGCAGCTCGAGGGTCGCTGGGCAGCCCCCCATGACCGCACAGCCCCCACGGCCAAGCCCACCGCTGCGGGCCCGCTGCGAGCGTCCAGCCCTGCGCCCCTGCCTCCAGTGAGGCCGCTCGCACCGCTCCCCTTCCCAGCCTTCGCCAAAGCCCTTTGGAGGAGCGAAGAGGCTCGGGCACATCCACAAAGTCATCGCATGAGAGGGATTAGTCTATAAACGAAAGTAATAGCTCGAGCCAGGAAAAGCTCCCCCGCAACGCGTTACTTCGGCGGGGGGACTCCTTGGGTTAGACCGCTGCAGCCAACTCGTGTGCTGCGAGAAACGGCGCTCGTGTTTCGCACCCTTTTTACCTTAACACTGGATCTGCTGGTCTGGGTCTCTGCCTCCATGCTCTGGCTGTTCTCCCTCTTGTCTTTCTTAGAGGAATTAGTCCTCACCTTATAAGTGGATGTGTTGGAGGATTTAATGAATAATCCTGGGACGGGGTTGCCTTGCTGCTGCTGAGACATGGTTGTGTTGGTCTGGTGAGGGGAATTGCACTCCTCAGACTCTTTGCTACTGTGATAGACCACTCTGCTGTCAGAGATGTGGATGCTTGGAGCACAGCCCATGCTTTGTGGCCACCTGGGGAATACTTCTAAATTGTATATATATATACGTGCATATATATATCTCTTTCCTTCCCGTTGGTATTTCCCCCTGCCTTTTTTTTTTTTTTTTTTTTTTTTTTGTTAACAGGTTGAATCTTTGTCCTGCGTCTCCGCTACACTCTGAAGCATTGCCATCGGTCCCTCGCACACGACAGGCTCGTGTCTGTCCTCCTCGGCCTCCACGAAGCGGGTCCTTTGGTCGCCCCCTCAGCCAGCGGTGGGCCGGGAGGCTGGAGGGGCGGGCGGGTGGGGAGGGGGGGGGATGGATCAACAACTGGTCGACTTCATATTTTCACAGGTTAGTGCTGATTTTCCTAAGCCATCTGAGAAGCTTGGGAGGGCTTGCTTTCCTTCGGGGGAAGAAGGAGGAAAAAAAAAAAAAGAAAAATAGCTCCGAAAAGCCGCGAAGCAGCCGCACAGCCCCGGTGCTCAGCGCGGCCGGGGGCTCGGCACCACCCCCCCCTCCTAGCCCGGGGCTCGGCGCATTCTCCCCGCGGCGCTCCCGGGGGGGGCCGCTCCCCACCTCGTCCTCCGCGCTCGGGGCCGCGCTGCGGGGCTGCTCGGAGGAAAAAAAAAAATAATAAAAATAATAATAATTAAAAATTAAAAGACACCCCAAAACATAAAAATTAAAAAAAATCCCGGCGAGGAGCCCGATCCGCCCCGGCGGCGCTCGTCACGCCGCCTGGGGCACGTCGGCGGGCGGCCGCGGGGGTGACATTGGCGGTCCCGGCGTCCTCAGGCGGCGGCAGCCCCCCCTCAGGCGGCCCGGGCGCTCCCCGGGCGCCGCAGCGGCATGCCGGGCCCCGGCCCCGGGCGGGGCGGCGGCGGCGGGCGGGCGGCGGGGCGGCTCGGAGCGCTGCCCGGGGCCGCGGGACGAGGAGGAGGAGGAGGAGGAGGAGGCGGCGGCGGCGAGGCTGGCGGAGGCATCAAAGGGCCTCCATGGTGGGGGCAGTGTGTGGCCGGAGGGGTGATGCGGGACGGCCAGAGAATGATGATGACGACGATGATGATGATAAAAAGATAAAAAAAAAAAAAAAAAAGGCGAAAGGCGAGAGAAGCGGCAGGAAAACGATCCTAGCGTCCCGGCTCGGCGGACAGGCTTGCGGCGGCGAGGGCTCCCGTTCGCAGGGCCGTGGCGGCGGCGCGCCGTGCAGCGGGGAAGTGCCGGTGCTCGGTGCTCGCAGCTCCGCTCCGCGCCCGCCTCTCTGCACCGGGCGGCGGCAGCCCCGGCCCCCTCCCTCCCTCCCTCCCCTCCCCGCCGCTCCCCGCCCCTCCCCTCCTCTCCCGCTCCCCCCCCACCCCCCCGCCCGCGCGGCCCCGGCGCTTGACAGCGTTGGAGCCAATGACAGCCGCCGGCGGCGCTGACCTCCGGCCCGCGCTGGCGTCAATGCAAATCAGCCGCCCCGCGCCAATGGCGGCCCGCGCCGCCCGCCAGAGCCGGCTTCAAACCGCCGCCTGCGCGCTCACGGCGCCCGCTGAGGGCTCCGCGCGCGCTCCCCCTGAGGGGAGCCGGGGAAAGGCCGAGCCCCAGCGCTGCCCCCTCGGCTGTGGCCCCGTCCGGTTACTCGGAAATGGGTTTGGGGGTGAAGGTGCTGCGGGTCCAGGCAGACCCCAGGACTTGGATACCGAGCTGCAGAGCGGCTTGGGCAGCAGCACGCGCAGAAATCAGGCTTGTTCTGCCGGTGAGACCCGACGTGCCTCAGCTTGGGACACAACACACGGCACGGACCCCGCTTTAACGCACCTCAAGAGGAGCGGAGTGCTTGAGGCGCTGCCAAGGCCATGCCCAGCACAGGGCTGGGGGCACCACTGACACTGCCTGAAGTACGAACCCAGGTGCGGTGGCAGCCCCCGACACAAGCACAGAGCCCACGCTGTGCTGATTCCACACGCGCCCTCCGTCCTGGTTGTGGCACCCAGGCTCACCGAGGTACCTCAACACACCGCTCACTGTCACCCGGCGAGCAACAGCAGTCTGGGGAGGGCCAGATCAAACTTTAGCTTTAGGAGCACAGAAAACACCAAATCTCAGAGAGGTGGCTTCTGTCAATAAGCTCCCGTGCCTCAGGAGAGAAGATAAGGTGTCACGGGGAAAACTATTCAAGTTCCTCCAAGTGCACATCACGAAGGGCTCTGTGCCCCCATCAGTTGCGGCGTTTTGGAAGCAGCCGGTTCAGAGCGCCCTTGGGTGCGTTCGGAACAGCCGGCCTCTGAGCATTACCTCAGCTACATGGGAAATGCCATCAGGTCGTGATTAAAAGGCAGATAGGCAGATAAGCGAGGACTGCGTCAGCAAAAAGCAGCTCTCCGTTCATATAGGTCACAGCATCGGCTGGTGCAGATGGCAGCACCCTGTAAGGCCAGGAGATGCAAAGCCAGCAGGCAGCGCTTTTGAGAAATGTGTTTTTTCAGGACAACCACAGTACTTGCACTGTCAAAATGCTTGTATTTACTTCTAGTAATTGCTAGGGTTAAAGGCTGGAAAATGAAGCCTTCCTGTCCCTGGTCTCCCTGCTACTGTGCAGTTTCAAACATAAGCAACAGTCACATAAACTTCATCCACCCCATTAATTTAGCTGCTTCATATCGCCTGTCAGTACTAGCAAATCACTCCGGCTTCCTGTGCTCTCATCACTTCGGATGCTCACTTAAGATAAGCACTTAATAATAAATGAAGGAAAAGGCTTAACAAACCTGCTTTAAACAGTGGGCATTGATGGGAGAGTAATCTTGTCCTCATTCTTTATGTTAAACTTCTAATTTTCTAAATCCCACTGATAAGAATGCACTTAAGTGCAGTGTCAGAAGAGAATGCTGGAATTCTTACTCGTGCCATTAATCACAAGTGTGGGCTCTCTTATTCAGCCTTAATGGATCTGTCATCAAAACTACTATTGCACTTAATTTCTGGTGGCACCGGGGGAGTCAGAGACAGCAAAACTTCATTTTCAGAGCTTCACATTCAGTTTGCAGTGCTGACACCTAGAGTTAAGCCTTCTACTTGTAAAATAAATAGGTTTGATTTGCAGCTACATGGAGATGAAATCTACATTTCATGGTGTCATTTCAAAAACATGAATGTTAAAAGCATCACTGCTTTCAATTTCAGAAACAAATTAACATTCAACCAATATTTTATCAAAATGACAGACAAACAAGTACTGGGAGGAAAAAGCACTTTGTTCAACATCACATAATAGCAGCAAGACAAAACAACAGCGTACATGCAGATGTGATGCATATGACCTCTTTGCCCTTTTTCAAAAGTTTTTCCACTCTAAGCCTATGAGACTATTTCTGAATATTTCAATCTAGAGTTGAACTTCAAACAACAAAAATTAAAGCTCCATTTGCAAGTTTTTCAAAAGAGAATTCACACTGCCTTGAATTGGAGGGTGAGCTGAGCACAAAATGCATGAACAATTCCTTAACAGTCATTAAGCCATTGAGAAATTACCAGAATTGCTGCTACACTGATGAAAATCCAACTAAAAAAATACATATATAAATATATTTGAGCAAGACACTGGCACAGTCTTTGGCTTGTTTCTCTTAAATTTGAAAACATTACTTCAATTTTTTTGTTGCCAATAGGAAAATATTGTTGAAAAGTATAGGTTCACCTGTAGTCTAGAATCAGAGAGAAAAGGTGAAGATATCAAAATCATTGCCAGTGGCAGTCATTTTTCACTATGCTACATGAGTTCTGTTTGCAGATAAAGGGGCTTGTTCAAGCTTATTTGCTGAAGTGCAGCTCAGGAAATGGTGGGCCCTATTATTCAAAAAATGAAATAGTGCAAAAGAGCAGAGGAAGAATAGGAGCGTAGACACTGGCAGATTAGGGCTGTGGGGGAAGTGCAAGGTCAGTGCAGAGTCAGTAAGTGAGAGGTCAGAAGAGAGCTAGCACGAGGAGACAGCTGGGGAACTGAGAAAGGTTATTTATGGAGAATAAGGTTGAATTTCATTCAGGATTACAGAATAAGAACGAAGGCTAGAAAAGAACTTGCAATGATTGTTTTCATCTCGGTCTACGGACAAGTGGGAGCTGTAGGAGATCAAAGCACTTGGAGTACAAATACATAAACTCAACATTCAAAAGGAATCAAAAGTTACAGTATTCGGCCACTTCCCCATCCATCTCGAAGACAAAATTAAATCGTACCCTTCATTTCTTGACAAAAAACTGAACTACACAGTGACTCCCAGATTTGGGAGGGATGCTGCGCCTTGTCTGCCCCCTAACTCCCACGAACAAACTCCTTTCCCGTGGTGTGCTAGCAGCAGGCATCCATTGCACGTTGTCCTTGACCACTTCCTGCCGCACATTGCAAGAGTTTGTGCGTGAGCACTGGGACAATTTGCTCCTGTCCAGTTACACAAAAATGAAGGCCTAGAGAAAAAGTTTGGTGCCAAAATCCAATTCTGATAATGATTCAGAGCCCAAGACACTGACAGGCAGAATGATGCAGAAGAAATGATGGACTGGCACCTGCATGAACAACAAATACCAGCACGCCTTGAAAAAAACACCACATTTCTTCAGTGGTAGAAAAAGCGTGCCTGCAGTCCTGTGAGCAGACAGGAGCAATCCTGATACAAGATTACTCTATATTGGTTTAATTGCTTCTCCCCCCAAGTCAGCTATATGTTCCAACTGTGTCTTCTGGCCTTCTGAAGATTAGGCAACCCTGCTCGTCTCTAGGCCAGCAAAGGAGGCAGTGGGGAGGAGGAGAGGGAGGAGGAGGAACTGCGGAAAATGTGCCAGGACACAAACAGCTGAATGGGCTGTACACTGCTAACTACCGCGACATGCAAACTGTGACAGCTCATCTCTCCAGCCTATAGAAAAACAGGAACCACGTTCTTCTGCCTTAGCCACAGGTAGCATTACACCTCGTGAGCAAGGCAGGGTGTTTCCTCTTGCTTGTATATGAGGAACAGGCATCCTATCCTGGAGCCAGGCACCTTCAGATGACAGAAAACAAATACAGAACTTATCCTGCAATAAATCATCCTCAATTGTATGAAATACAGAAATACAATGGGTTTGTTTTCTTCATCACTTTCTGGTGTCCAAAAAAAAAAAAAAAAAAGAAAAAAGCAATCAACACAAACCCTGCTCTGAAGGCCTTGCAGGCTGTCTGACTTGCAGTTGTTGCATAATGCAGATTGCAGAATACAGACAATTGTCTGTGCCACTTGGAAATCAGAGTCCTCAGGACAGTCTAAGTCAGCAACTTTTTCAACTCTAGCACCAAAGACATTTGAATCTAAAGCTCAGACACTTCATGTACGTGCAACTTATTTATTTTATTTATTTATTTTTACAAAACTTCATCTGCTGTTTGACTGCTGTCAAAATGGCTTTCTGTTGCAGCTGTAGTGTACACATCACACTCACCACTGCTCAGTGATCAGGAGGATAGATAGCATATCTGGGAGGAAAATGTACCCCCTTTCCCATTTTCTTTACTTCTCTGCTGTCCCCACAATGTGGAGGACTCCTTCCTCAAAATTTGTCTTCCTCTTCTTCCTTGTTTCTTGTCCTTTTTCCTACCTTTTCCTCAAATCCTTTTCTTTCCTTCCCTAAGTACCCTTTTTTTCCATTTGGTTTCTCT